TTCCCTCGCCGGAAAAACTATTGTAAGTACTTCAAATTGTCATTTTGCTCAACTGGTGAAGGTGCACAGATTATCTTATTTCCATTTTCAACATTTAAGTAAATGTCTTTGTCTTTTTACTTTCATTTATTTTTATATTACTTCATTTACTTAAGTTTACAATGTAAATAAAGAAGTACCTCTATTTGGATTCAAATAAAAATACTAGAAAATTAAATTCCCACCAAATCAAAATATTAAAAATCAGTTTTAGTTCAAAATACAATTTAGGCTAAAAATGATTGCTTATTAAGTTAATGTATACTTCATAATAAAATTCCATAAAAACAAGTTTTCTTATTTGATGTGTAAGGAATAAAAGCTGCCAAAAATTATCTTGAGAAAATGATTATGTCAAAAAACCAGTTTTCATATTTAGTCAATATTTTTATATAAAACAATTTTTCATGTATAATATGAAGCCATGAAGGGACTTAAGATCAATCTAAATAATAATAAAAACATTAGATGTTCAATCCACAAAGAGTTTTTAGCCTTTCAACATTGCCATTCGCTAAAAAATTATTGGGTTTGTTAGTGAATTTAATCCTTCCGTTAAATTGACCATTTAGTTAGACTTTAACTAATGACATGTCTCTAAGTCGGCAAGCTCCGCACCCAACGCGACGTGGATTCAATCCTCGCTCGCCTCCACTGCCACGTCGCTGAGATTTTGATCAAGATCAGCGTCCTCCTTGACGCCGACGTCGAGGTTTGTTCAATAATTAGCAAACCAATGGCCAGTCATGATAATTATTATTCTTCCAATTTTTTTGTGGGTTTATAATTATATCAGAATATTGCAAGGGTTGGGTGATTCTCCAGATTGTATAACAGGAGTTGGGTGATTCTCACGATTGTATCGCAAGGGTTGGGCCACCATGTGTGGTTTTGTATTTTTGTTTGTTCTCTGTGATTTTGCTGGGATGAGATTTTTGCTAAGGTGAATCGCGTTGTGGTTTGGTGCAAGTTGGCGGTTGTGGGCGCTAGTTTAATCATATAAATGGAGCTTCTTGTTAGTTGTTTCCCTTTAATATAATAAGGTTTTTTAGGTTTTAGACATAAAAAAAAATTCACTTTTGGAAAAAGCCAAAGCTTTTTCAAAAAAGACAAAAAAACCACTCAACTTTCAAATCAAAGACATGCAAATGTATTGGATTCTTTAGGAAATCTAAAAATAAATAAGGGTATTTTTGTCCATTTTTGCTTCTTTTAAAATTTTTCTCTCTCCTTTTGCTTTTTCCAAAATGTCCCTTAATAATACAGGTAGTTTGTTTCAGGAATTTATCGAGACCACAAAGGAGCCTGTAGTCATTTTTAATAGCCAAATTTGATGGCATACTTGGACTTGGATTTCAAGATATACTAGTTGGAAATGTTGTACCTGCGTATTTCATGCGATTATGAGTTTCTGCTCTGTTTGAATCAGGTTCTATTTTCACCAATAGGAATTCAGAGATGAAGTAGCTTGTTGGGCAGGGAAGGGGTTGGGATTTTTATAGTTTTTTAAAAAAATTCAGATTTTATCATTTTATATAAATTTTTCTTTAGGGATTTGTTAGTAAGTGGGTCCTTCACAGTTAACATGTCATCAATTAACATCTCACCAAATGTTCAACTTAACAAAAGGCTTAAATTGGTCATATTTGAAAACATTGAGGTGTAAACTAATGAAATTAAAACCCCATGATCCATATTAAGAATGATCTCAAACCTTCAGGAGGTGTTTTGTCATTAGCTCTACATAATATTATTCATCCTATCATTGGAAATGTTCTTATACTGTTATTAGATATATATAATGGTATTTAATAAATAAAAAATATTCAAGGTATTTTATGATAATGTTTTCCCTTTTGATAAGAAAGAGAAATTAAGAGAAAGAAAAAGTTCCCCGATTACGTACATGAAATGAAACATTGTTAGTATGAAATTTGTATTGTCATTTCTTAAACTCTAACAGATGTTAGGAATTAGTGTGTAAATATCTTTTATTGGAAGTTTTGGCGCAGCACATTCAATCTTGGATTTTCGAAGTATGACTTGATCGATATGAGGAACTTGATTTCAGGTAAATCATGACATAATCATGCATTCATTATAGGATTATTAGTTGGAGTTATTTTCACTCAAGTGCTTTTATGTTAATCCTATTTTTAATAGGATTAGATTTTATCTCTTGATATTACTCTCATAATTGGACTCCATTTTGATTTAAATTAAAATATTATCTTTTCTTATTATGACTTGCATGTTGAAATAAGCTACTACTTGATTGGTCTAATTAATTTGTTTAGGTAGATATTGTTTCTCCCTTATAAGATTGGTTGTAGTGGAAGTCAATTACGTTTCCTCACTTCTTGCATTAGTTGACATCTTCACTTAGAATCCAAAGTGAATAAAATATCATATTCATGATAGGATATGATTGGTGGGTTCTTGTGCTTATCTTTGACTAGAGACAACCAGTTTTGTATAAAAGGTGTGCATTTCTTTTCATACAGAGGGCTTTTTGACATATTTGTATTTTGAGCATGTAAAATTTCTAAGAAAGTTGTTGTGCATATATTTGAGATAAATTATCAAGTGTTTCATATTTACTTTGTGATTTATGAAACACTTTACTCATTCATATTGCATTCATTTGCATTGTTCGGTGACTCATACGGTTGAGAGTACCAAGATCGTGGTGTCAGTTTTCCTTCGGCGAGCTTGAAGCAATCGTGACCAGTATTGCGTTCAACATAAGGAGTGTCGAAGATCATCCCGTAACAGAAGTTGAGTTACAAAGAAGTCAATAAACATTATCTAGAATGTGTTTAGTATAAGTCGTTTTATAGTTGATTTGTATTGGACTGAGGAGTCCCGTAGATTTTCCCCAAAGTTTTCTGCATGTTCCTTTATTTTATGTTCAATACGTTTCATGATTCATAAGTCATATCAATCCTGCTACCGAAGTTTATTAATTATAATCTTAAATTGGTCTATTTACCCCCTAGGCATTTTTAGTCATTCTAAATGTAATTTCAAACATGAAATGACAACAAACTCAACAAACTATATGAACACATATACCACGTATATCATATTCATCCCACGCTATACGAAGGCCAAAACGATTCAAACAAAAACAAAGCAAAACTTGGATTGGACCCTCTTCTTTTTATATCTTTCACTCACTCAATCTTGCACACATTTAAAGTGGTCTGATACAGACTGTGTTCTCTCTGGCCTGGCCTGGGGAAATAATGCCATCATCTCCATAACCGTGGTTCGATTGTAAATAACCAGAGAAATCTGCCTTCTTGGGCTTTGCCTCGGTCTCTTCTGCTACCTCTGCTGCCTTTGCTTCTTCTGGGCCTTGTGGTTGCTCTTTTGCTTCTTTGATGCTTTTGCCATGTTGGGAATATTAGTTTGGCTCCAGCCAAAAGCATAGGCCAAGTTTTTCTACGTTATCTTTATCATTAGGAAAAATTTGATTCCTAGTGTCACAAGCCATGCATTGTGTCAGCTGTCAACCATGGGTTGCTCACAGTCAGCATCCCACGTGTCAATCTTTGTGTAGGAAATTTGAAAACTGTTTGGTGTGTGGTTGGCCCAGAAATTGGACTTGGGCATGTCCAAAATCCAAGTCTTCAAATTTTGGACTTGGGCCATCTCTAATTCTAGGCCTCCAAATTTGGATTTGGCCATGAAGCCCAGCCTGGTAATTACATAAAAAGTTGATTTCAAGGAAGGCATGGAATGGGATGGTTGGTGGGAATTGGGATGAAGGATTCTTTTTTGTTTTGTATTTGCTAGAAACATTCTATAATTTACCATTCCCTCTTTCAACTTGACCACCTCTATGGTATTGAGAAGAGATCTTGATAAAATACTAACCTAGTTTTATTGGCTCTCTAGAGAAAGGGTAAGAGAGTGGAGGAGATGCCAAGCAACACCAGCTTCATACCAATGACTCAGCCAAAGATCAAACACAATCTTCCAAGTTAAGAGATCATTTCATGCCTTTGATTTTGGGACAACATGGAGGTAGCTTCCTTCAAGATGTCTGCATATGCAATGCATTGTCACTTTAATTGGGTTCCAAGAGTTGCAAACTCTTTCTCTATGGCACATGGATTTACCCAATGGGCTTTTATGGTGTAATTACATCCCTCTCTTGAGCTAGATCCTTTTGACTTATCTCAGAGAGAGTCACAAAGGTTGTTCTAGGGTTTGCACATTTGTAAATTGTAATTAGGCTCCTCTTGTTCAACCAAACACCTTTTCAAGAAAATAAAGAATATTATATAGTGTATTTATGTATTTTGTATTCCCACCAATAATTTCAAGAAGAAAAATAATTATTTTAAAAAAAAACCCATAGCTAATTGGGTGAAATTCCAATTTACATTTTTATAGTGGATCATTTATCATTTATTATTTATTATTTATTATTTATTATTTATTATTAGATGAATGAACCTTGGATACACTTGCAAGTTGCTGGTCTATTTTCAGGTCAACCATACATAATCCATTATCCAAACCCCCTATCACATCACATGAGAAAAATAGGAACACGAGCAATGAGAATTATTGGTGTGACATTTTAGCAGATAGAGAGAGAGAGAGAGAGAGAGAGAGAGAGAGAGAGAGAGAGAGAGAGAGAAACAAACAACTAAAGGGCAAAAAGGCAAACTAATAATCTAATTCACAAGCCAACTAAACCTATCTCTTTCTCTCTTGTCCGACCTTCCCCTTGGTCCTAGTCACCAAGTCACACTTGTCTTGGAGGGTGACACGTCATCACATGTCACTCCCCCCCACCTTCAACATCATAATGCAAGCCCCAATCCTCTGCAGTTTGCTCCATACACTTGTTGACCAATTGCTTTAGAGCATTGTACCTTTAACCAGCTGACCCTTTCATTCAAAAGTAAAAGGGTAAAAGGATCTTTATGGTACAACAGGTGCATGCACACAAAAAACAGGTAAGGACAAGATATTCCACGAGATACTTCCTTCCTTCTCTCTTTTTTCACAGACTGACCTGCTGATATAAAATTTGTCTCCAACAGCTTTCGAATTTTCAAACCTCCTCTCTCTAACACTGTAGACTCTCTCTAACCGTTTCTATTGTCCAAGAAAACAAAACCCATTTCTATTTCAAACCCAAAGATTGGTTCTTCTTTCCTCCTTTTTCTCTTTCAAAGTTTCTTTCTTTTTTTCTTTATTGTTCCGCGAAAACACCTTCTCTCCCGAGAAAGTTTGAATTTTTCTTGCGAATTATCGCCTGGTCCTGAGCTTTTCTTGGTGGGTTTTGGTTCTTGGGTCGGGAACTTTACAGGGTTTTGGCTTTTGAAGAAGATGAAGATCGGTGAAGATGGTCGCTGTTCGTCGTTATGTGCATGATCGCACTGGCGCGTTGGCTTCGTGCTCTGGTGATTTCTAGGGTTTGTGGTGCGTAGATTTGTGTGGCTTTAATTAGGGTTTCTGGGTAAGCAACTGTCACCTCTTTTCTTGATTCTTTGCCGCTTTTCAAGTTCCTCTTTTTCAGCTTTGTTTGATGGCATTATTGTTTGATTCTTCACTGAATAATTGTAAAGAAATCTATGAGTTTTTATTTATCATTTGGTACCTTTTAAATTTGTTTTTTTAGTTTCAAGAGAGCGTTTTTTACTTGAATTTTGTAAGGACTATTTCATTATTAGAAATGACGAGTTGTTAAGTATCTGGGCCCATTTCTTGAAGGTTTGGTTGTCATAAAAGGTATAGATGTATCATGATTAAAGTCGTTTGCTGAATATTTATAAATTAGTTCTAAATCATTGAACCAGTTGTGGTGAACCGTCGCCAAGGCTTGTTAGACTGTACTATGAAAAGTGAATTCTCTCTCTCTTTCTTTTCATTGGTTTCCGTTGTTTATTAATTTTCAGAACTCTGGGAAGTAGTTTTGGAAAATGTCCAGGGCCTGTTAAATGATCGTGTCAAAATTTAATTGCCCCATTTTAATATCTATAGAATTTCGTATGTGTATCCAATGTCTGTAATGAAACGACAACGATGGTGCGTCAATGGGAAAATTGGATTTGTGGCCTTTTTTGAGATTATAGAGAAAAAGGGTGAGTTTCACACATAGTGTGGACTGTCTTATAACTGGTATTGGTGGGTTTTTCATGTTAACTAATTGGCTATGCCATCGTTAACCTTTTTACAGCTCTTCTGAATATGACAGAACATTAATGTGGTGCTGGATGCACTTGAGACCTTATGAGATGGATTTTGTAGGATTCTTTTATTTATGAGGTGATGAGAAGTGGTGGGACTTTTGGGTGGTGGAACTGGGTGTATTGTGAAGAAGAGCAGTCTCAAGTTAAGGGTTATGGGTGTGAAAGACTGACTTTTCTTCCCCTTGGTTGAGTGTGAATGTGTTGTATCGAAGGGCTTCTGTAGAATTGAGTCATATTTCATACTGGTGCCATAATGAAGGCCAAGTTTTAAATTGATATGTTGCAGTATTCCCATTTGGTATTACATAGCTGCAAGAGGTTTGAGAAGGCCTCAGTTAATGAAACTTGGACTCTGCATGGGTTATTAGTATCAACCCTTGCCTTAGATTGAGAGTTCCTTTAAAATTTCATAGCTCCTCTTGGGAATTTGAGGCCGTTTCTTATGTTAATCTGTTTTTTGACCCTTGTAATCGTGTCTTATGAGGCCGTATGCGTTGCCTTTTCTGTTTGTATGAAAACTAATGAGCATTTTGTTGAATTACATGTTAAGTTGCTAGACATGTGGGGTTGGCAGCTTTTTGTAATCCTCATTTCTCCTTCCCCTAACATCATTTTGTAAAAATATGTTTTCCATTTTCAGCAAGTAGTTGAAGTAGAAAAAAACAGAGCAGTATGGTTGCAAAAGACCGCCAAAGTGCTACAAGCTCTCCTAGTCCTAAAGTGGAGGTGGGAGAGATCGACACAAGGGCACCTTTCCAATCTGTTAAAGATGCTGTTACACTATTTGGAGAAGGCGCATTCTCTGGGGAAAAACCTGCCATTAAGAAGACAAAACCTCATTCAGCAGAGGTATTTCTGATTCCTTACTCTTTAATTTAGGAAGCACACGTCTATATCTACATTTGACAATTGGAAAGTATATTTTGCTTCACTTGTTGGTTAATTTTTTTTGTTTTCCACAAGTTATTGGGAAGCTGATGGTAGTGAACATACATTTCTCTGCGTTTAAAATTCAAATAAGCTAGAGATCTTTTTTAACCAGGAAAAAAAAAAAGAGCTTATTGTTTGAAACGGTTAGCAAAGGTTATTCAGTAGCAATTTTTTTGGGTACATCATAGATGGTTTGCATGTTCTGTAATTTCAATGCATGTACTGAAGTTGACCTTCCAAATTGTGTGAACTCAATATTTCGACCTTCCATTTAAGCTACTTCTAGAAGGAAGTTGTATATTTGTAGCTATGGATGTGAATGATTATCTCACTCATGTAATCTTCCATTCAATCTCTGATTAATTGGAACTCTTCATCATTGTGAGGTTATTAACTATCACAGAAATTCTACTCATTATAATGCAACAACTGTTTGGTCAATGCATGCTCTTCTAATATCCTTTTTTTTTTGTTTTTTTGGTGTGATGTTTCAATGCAGAGAGTACTAGCCAACGAGACGCAGCTTCACCTGGCCCAGAAAGAATTGAACAAGTTGAAGGAACAACTGAAGAATGCTGAAACTACGAAAACTCAAGCACTTGTGGAGCTTGAAAAGGCTAAGGAAACTCTTGAGGATCTTACAAATAAGGTGACTTCCCTCAGTGAATCTAAGGAATCTGCAATAAAGGCAACAGAAGCTGCAAAAAGTCAGGCAAAGCAACTTGAAGAAGCAAACTCTGGCAACCTTGCTGGAACTGATGGTGCTTGGAAACAGGACTTGGAAACAGCAAGAGCACAGTCTGTGAATGTGATTACTGAACTTAATGCTGCAAAGCAGGAGTTACAGAAAATCCGTCAGGACTGTGATGCATCCTTGCAAGCAAAAGTTACTGCTTTCAAGCAGGCAGCAGAAGCTGAAGATGCAGCCAAAGCAAATGCGGAGAGGGTTACTGAGCTCTCCAAGGAAATCTCAGCTGTGCAGGAATCAATTGGGCAAGTGAAGCTTGCATCTTTGGAAGCCCAGCAGGAGCAAGCGAAGATATTTGCTGAAAAGGATGTCCTGAGGCAGTCGTATAAAGCTACCTTGGAAGAGTCAACAAAAAAATTGCTTTCTCTGACAAAAGAGTTTGATCCAGAACTCTCTAGAAATCTTGAAGCACAACTTTCTGAAACGTTGAATGAAGTTGGAGCTCTGCAAAAGCAAATGGAGAATGCAAAGGCTTCCGATTTAGATTCTGTGAGAATTGTCACTTTGGAGCTGGATGATGCTAAGGAATCACTGCATAAAGTAGCAGAAGAGGAAAGCAGTCTCAGAAGCTTAGTTGAAGCGCTTAAGTTGGAACTTGAGAATGTGAAAAAAGAGCATGCTGAACTGAAGGAGAAGGAAGCGGAAACAGAATCGCTTGCTGGGAATTTACATGTGAAACTGCGGAAAACCAAGTCTGAGCTTGAAGCATGCCTAGCAGAAGAGTCTCAAGCAAGAGGTGCTTCCAATGAAATGATAGCTACACTAAACCAGCTATCCTTGGAAACTGAAAATGCAAGGCGGGAAGCAGAAGAGATGAAGATTAAAGCAGAGGAGTTGAGGAAGGACGCTGAAACAACCAAAATTGCAGTAAAAGAAGCGGAGAAGAGGCTGAGACTTGCTTTGGAAGAAGCTGAAGAGGCTAAAGCAGCTGAAGAAAGAGCCCTTGAACAGATTAGAGTTTTATCGGAGAGAACTAATGCTGCTCGAGCATCAACTTCTGAGTCTGGTGCCAAGATCACTATATCAAAGGAAGAGTTTGAATCTTTGAGCCGAAAGGTTGAGGAGTCTGATACATTAGCAGAAATGAAAGTGGCTGCTGCCATGGCCCAGGTGGAAGCTGTGAAGGCTAGTGAAAATGAGGCCTTGAAGAGGTTAGAGGCAACCCAGAAGGAAATTGACGATATGAAGGCTGCAACTGAGGAGGCCAAAAAGAGGGCAGAAATGGCTGAAGCAGCCAAGAAGGCAGTGGAAGGAGAGCTCCGAAGGTGGCGAGAACGGGAGCAAAAGAAAGCAGCTGAAGCTGCATCACGGATATTGGCAGAAACAGAGATGTCAGTGGAATCATCCCCACGCCATTACAGGATTCAAAAGCAGAACCCTCAAACGAAAATTATTGAGGCCCGGAAGTTGGACAAAGAGAAGACGTCTGTTTCGAAAAAAACACTTTTGCCTAATCTGAGTGGCATGTTCAATAGAAAAAAGAGCCAGGTCGACGGCAGTTCCCCTTCTTATCTCCCTGGTGAGAACCCCCTTTGATGTTTGTATTCTGCCCAGACCTTTGTGGAAATATGAATGCTGAAGACATAAACAAGTTTGGTTGTGTCGGCATTTTGTGAAAATTCTATGATCCTAGTCTATTTGTGGAGGGAAAAAAGAGAGGATTGTCAAATTAATGAGCTTGGATGTAACTCCAGGGAGAGTGTGATTTTGTATATTGGACAAACAATTCTTGGATTATCTGTTGAAGATTTGCTGTAGAAATCAAGTGTCGACTTCTTTAAGCCTTTTGCTTTCATCATATTCTTTTTGGTTGCAGCAGGTACCACCACCCCATTTATCATTTTAATCCACTCTTACATCAAAACCATGGTTCTTTCATAACTTGCTCAGGCCAAAGATTAAAGTTCAAGTTGATTGTACACCTAAACAACTACTGATTATACACTTCTGTTTAGTGTTTTATTTATTCAAATCTGAATCTGGGTTTGCAAGATTTTTGTTTTTATTGTAAAAACTTAAAAGATTTTGAATACGGACAAGATGAGCAGGCGTGGCCTCTTCTAAGTACACAAGTTTATATACATGTATTTAGTATAGAGTGGTGATTTCCCCACTCCTTTTTCTCATATTTTATCCACTTACACTATTTTTTTATAACTAAAAAAGGAGTGTAAGTGGATAAAATAAAAGTGGGGAAATCATTGCCCTTATTATATTAACCAACTTGCATATGGAGTAAGGCCAGTTGATTAGAATAGCTCGTTCCTTTGCATCTGAGATCGATTTCTCTTCTCGTTCTCTTTCATTCGACATTGATCTCTTGTATTTGAATTTGATCTCTCTTTCATTTCATTTGTATCTGAGAATTAGATCTCTTTCACCGTAATTTAAAATAATTTAGAGTAATTTAAATTACTATGGTTAGAAATAGAAAGATATCACCAACAAAAAAGACATACCGCACCTCAAAGAGACTCCGATAATAAATGCACGTGTCGTAATTTGCCATTCGGTGACCCAAGTCTCACTGAGAGCCCATCCCACTCGCCACTTCCCATAGCACTGGAACTTTTGCAGCCCCTAAAAAATTCCAGCTCAGTACCAGCAGCCATGGCCAGCGCCAGAGACAGAGACGACTCACTCACATTCACAAACCCATCAACGTCGTCCTCGCCAATCATCATCTCTGACCCATTTGACAGCTTTCTCTCCGACCCAAATTCCCACATCGGCAGCGCCTCTGGGAGCTTCCAGAACGAGGGTTTACTTGCTGATACTAGCAGCGATGCCGAGTTTGGGTTCTCACGCCCTGAGTTTCGGACGAGCCAACTCGCCGGGACTGTCGAGTTTTACCAGCGCCACGTGTTTTTGTGCTACAAGAACCCCCAGGTTTGGCCGCCCAGAATTGAGGCCGCCGAGTTTGATCGATTGCCAAGGTTGCTCTATGCCGCGGTAATGGCTAGGAGGGGTGATATGAAGAAAGAGGTATGCTTATTTTGGTTTCTGTTTTGATGACGGTTGGTGTTTGATTTAGTGAATCTAAGTGGGTTGCTTGCTTTTTAGGACTGAATTAGAGGAGGTGTGTTTGATATTTGGTGGTTTTTTTTTTGGTTTGTGGTTGATCTCATATTCAGTCGGTTGAAATGGGTTTTATTTGCTTTGTGGATTGCTTGTTTTTAGAGGGTTATTTCCAGGTGTGTGATTTACTGTGTTGTATATACATTTTGATCAATCGAGTGGATTGCATATGTTTTTAAATTGTGTAGTTTGGTGCTTTTGTGCTTTCAGGTTTAATGCCGGTTGCTTCTGAATGTGGTGAATTAAAATGGATCTTCGCTGTTTGTTAGATTGCTTGTATTCTAAGACTGGTTTGGAAGCGTGTGATTTGGTATCTATTAGCTTGAACATGAAGGGGGTACCTTTTGTATTTTTAGTGGGGTTTTGGTTTGGGTGTCCTTTTGGAGTAACTTTCGAGTCTGCTTGTGTGGAATTTTCAGAATTCCAGAGTAGGTATTGTTAGAGGTTAGATATGGGTAAATTTGAGGTTGATGAATGAAGTATTTGGGTTCTTGAACAACGGTTTTTTGAGTTTCAATGATCCGTATTTTCTTTTTTACCTTTTTTAATAGTAAGGAGTGATTATTGTGAAGAATCTTTTTGGTCTTTGGTGTTTACTTGTGGTTTTAGAATGTAGTTGAAGGAGAGGGAATAAGGTGAACAGTATCATTTTGGAAATAAGTTCAAAAGATTAAGCCCCAGGCATCTTACTGGATAATATAGGAAGTTGGTATGTAACAAAACTTTATCAGATACACACCAACAAAGTGTCTCAAACATGGTATAGAATGATCTGACCTATAACATGACAGTTTTTCATTTCTCTTCTGTGTTTACTTCTATGTGACAATCATCTTTGCATTTGATGATTATGGGATCGGTGTGGTGGGAATTGTTTTCCACTAGACTGCCATTCTCTACGAATTTTGTTTCACAATGAATGGAATGAAATGAAAACAAGTTGTAGATAAGTTGCGTAGCCAGATGAATGAATGATGTGATGTTGTTATGGTTTCATCGTATGCGGTTGTTTACTGACCATTGCTGGCAGTTGGATTTACTAGCTGCACATTCTATGCTGCTTAAAATAGCATGTCTTAACCAGTTTATTTCTTCTTCTTTTTTTTCCATAATTGGATGTATAATTTTGGTTGAGGTTAACAACTCTTTTTTGTCTCTTTCATCTCTTTCCTCATCTAGACTCGCTTAACAATATGTGAAGGGCACGATGGAACTGAGACATCCAATGGTGATGTATTAATTTTCCCCGACATGATCCGATACAGGTCATGTACGAGTTCCATTGGAATTCTTTTACATACACTCTTGATCCCCTTCGAAATTTGATACTGAAATAAAATTAGGGATAAAATTGCAGGAGATTGACACATTTTGATGTTGATACATTTGTTGAAGAAGTCCTAGTGAAGGATGGTGAATGGCTGCCTGGTACTCCTGAAACTTTGAAGGGTTCATATGTTTTTGTATGTTCTCATGGGTCTCGGGATCGCCGTTGTGGAGTCTGTGGACCTCCCCTGATCACTAGATTTAGAGAAGAGATAGAATTACATGGTCTTCAAGGTAAAGTGTCTGTTAGCCCATGTTCACACATTGGGGAGCATAAGTATGCAGGAAATGTTATTATATTTGGACCAAATTTCAACAGAAAAGTCACTGGCCACTGGTAAGGGGAATTGTGTCTGTTAATTCATTTACTTTTATTTCTCTTTTCTGTTATTATTGTCAGTAGGTATAGCTTTTCACTCTATTCAAATTCTATTACTTGGTTAGTGATATTTGAGTTAGCTGATCATTTTATTTCTGATAGGTATGGATATGTTGCTCCAGAAGATGTACCTGTATTGCTTGAGCAGCATATCGGGAAAGGAGAAATTTTGGACTGGCTATGGAGGTAATCCTTTTACATCTTCAATTCTTTCTCATAATTCATAGGCTGGCTTTTGAAGCAGTTTTCTCATGATTCTGAATCAGATTATATCTGTGCTGGTTCTATTGTTTTAACCATGTTTAGTTGTACAATTTGATCTTAGAGGAAGCTCCTCTTTGGCACCTAAATCAGAGTGGTTGGCTGTGCAAATTTATTCCGACTAGAACAAGAAGAAATTGAAAAATAAAGAGAAAATAGTTTGTTTAACGTGTGTAAAATTAGTAGCTGCAAATCTACTGAAGTGGTCACTCTTCTTGTTTGAGTTTTTGTGTTCCTCTTGTATGCATGCATTATGGAATTAGGTAGTGATGAAATATATGGTCTGGTTTCAGGGGTCAGATGGGTTTATCTGAAGAACAGCAGAAGAAATCTCAAGAACTAAGGCTCCAGCTTAATGGCGAGACAAATGTGGGAAAAAGCGCTACAGAGTTGACACAACCAAAGGAAAGGGAAATGAATACTAGTGTATGTAGATCTCAAGTTGAGATTGGCGGATGTTGCCAGGAAAATAGAAACTCTTCTTGCTGTCAGAATGCTGTGTTCATAGAAAAGTTAAACAGTCCTGATTTGAATGAGATGGCAGCAAAGGAGACGACTGACAAGAAAAAAAGCAGCAGGAAGCTACTTTCAGGGATCAATAGCGGAAAAGGGGCCTCCACGCGCAAGGTTTGTGCTATGCCGACTTGGTTTCAGAGCTGGGAGCGTGAAGATACATATGCAGCTTTTGCTGTTGTTTGTGCTGCTGTGTCAGTTGGCATTGCTTACAGCTGCTACAAACAGTTGAGATGAAAACTTGAATCCAATCTTTGTGTTGTTTGATCATATTACAGGCTAGAGTGTCAACCCCTCTCAAGATTTTATGAGAAGTTGATTCTGGATCTAATTGGTAGGCCCCTGCGGAAAGGTCTGTGATGTGCTTATAGAAGAAGGTAAAGGGTTTCGGCTACGTTTGTGGATGTGTAAGAACGCTGGTGGGGGATACTTGAGTTGTGTTTTTCTTCTTTGTTTTGGGATATAATTTGTACTTGTGCATATATATATATCAATGTGTTACCGAATTCGTGTTTTTATATTGACACAATCTTCAGTATGGTATGTTGGATATTCATCAATCTAACAGGAAGCAAGCTGTTTCAGTATTTTCTTTTAACGTTGGAATGGAAGGAATGTTATTCGGAAAACAAATTTACAAATGCCTTTTTTCATGCTGAAGTCACTGAAAAAATGCATTTGTTATAATGATAATGCAAGTATATTCGTACCACTCTATAATTTCTCCGAACCATAATAATTCAAGATGCTTACGCATATTATGTGATAATAGGAATCTTGGGATCCTCTTTGTAATTTATTTCTGTTGTATAAAAAAATCATGCAAGATACCAGTGATCAATCTGATGAGCAGTAAATCTTAGCAAACCTTTAAACCCGTCAAGGGGCTTCTTTCCATAAGTTTAGGCATACTATAAAAAACATTAAGGTTTCCACTGTCTAGTCCCGTGCATTAGACAAATTAGATCTACACGTTAACACCCTAGTAGTCCCCTGTAATCTTATTAGATCAATTTATAATACAATTATTATAATTATTAATATTAATTAAGTAAAATTGTTGCTTCTAATAAAATCAGTATTAAAAAAACTGTGTTAAACGAGATATAGGAAACACATATATAGGCCATTTAGGCCACGGATTAAACGAGATACAACAAAGTCACTTACTGTAGGAAACATATATGCAGGCCATCTAGTGACTTATTGTAGTCACTTCAACGA